TCCATAAACTAATAGGTCAGAAAAAAAAAAAAAAAAGGAAAAATATTCAATGATTTATTTGAGTTATATTATATGTACTAGAAATCACCGCTGGCAATTTGGTATCTGGCATAAGCTGTCCGCTTCTGGTAGTTTTCCTGCAACCTGTTCTCAGTTTTATATTTAACAAATAAAAATTGGGACCACTGGCTTCTTTTAGTTTTCTTGTAACATGGTCTCTTAGCCCAAATTGACCATTAGGTAAGTAAACAAGTTATTGAATATTTCACCTCTTGGAAGAAATCATCACTAGGGCGCACACACACTTACACTAAGGCTTGAGACTTTGTGTTATCCATATTAATATATATTTGATCGTCGAATTATTCAAGTAGTCTATTCTTTTTATGTGAAGCCACGAGAAGCAGTGAAAATAAACTTCAACCCTATAGCTGCCCGTAAATCGCCCATCAAATCAAGTTTTCTTTGAATTTTTGTTAATTTGCAAATCATTATACCCATATGGCCCTACACATAGCTACCAAAATTATGTCCATGTCCATTCATATAAACATAGAAGTAGATCGATTGGTGCCTTTTATTTTGGTGTTGGAAATTATTAGGCGTTAGGAAATCGTCCATCAAATTAAAGGGGCTTGAGCTACCGATGTGTACAAGCTATTAACAACCACCACAACATTTTCAATGTCGACACTATCCCTGTATTGAACAATTGCTTGTGCCTAACTTGGCAAAAGAATCCCTCTCACGCAATTGGCTTGTATAATTGTACGTGAATGTTAGGTGCCTGCATGGTTTTGTCTAAAACGTGCATGCGTATTGAAATCTTGTACGTAGCCATAACTGTGGCCTAGCTAATATATAACGGTGGACAAATATTTATAGATTTTGTATTTTATTTATCGGTTGCTTTTTCGTGTAGGCATGTAACACATGACATGGACCTAAATAATTAAAGCTCAGCAATCCCATCTGCCATCCTTTACTAGGTTTCCCTTTCTGATGAATCTGATCCCTTGCTTGACATGCCAAAACCCTCATGCTAAAACTGACCATCATGATTCATCACCACAGCATTAGCATAACGTTTCCATGCAATGATCTGTTGAGTCTGTTGACATCGAATTGGGTCGGCACTAATGGGTATAAAATATAATTAAGTTATGTTTATGATTTAGCTGTGCGCCATTAATATTCTAATTTAGCATATGGGAGGTCTTGCATATGCGGGTTAAGCCATTTGACTAAGACAATGTTCATGTTCCTTTGCGCCCGAGTTTGATTTCTCTCCCCTAACATTAGAGCAGTTTAGAATATTACTTTGTAATAAAGTAAAAAACATAAGAGATGTCTTATAAACAATAACGACAACAAAAAACTTGCTTTCAAGGAATAAATTGCCCTGCCGTTAGAACTTAATTGTAAGAAATTGATTGCATGCAATGTAAGCGACGTCCGTTGATTGATCACAATGCATCTGGCATAATGTTATCATTTTGGTTAAAATTATGCATCTTCATTTAGCCGCGCAACCCGTGACTCTTATGTTGAAAAGACTGCATTAATTGAGTTCGATTCTTTAGGATCCCGGTGATTGTGAAGTTGATCTTTCTTTTGAATCATATGATTACGAAATTGCTGAGTGACATGTTTGGACAACCATTACATTCAACCAAACTAGGTTTATATAGTTGAAACATATGAGTTGTTGACTTTACACAACTTTTACTTTTCGGTAGAATTAGGGAGTTGAATTTGAGATTTCTACTAGCGTTGAAACGAAAAATACTATTAAATTAATGACTAGTTGATACACAATTTTATATTACGTTATAGGTTTGTTTTCTTTTTTGGTGAAATTCTGTGAAATACATAAATGCACAATCAAAGTTTAATATTTTATCTAATCACATGTGGTTTTTGTAACATGTTGTGACTCGTGAGACTCTCAACCATGATGATTAGGAAGAATAATGAAACAAAATTAAGTGAATGATAAAAACTTTGCTGAATACCGTGGCATGACAAATAATTCTTGGCATGACATTGACATACGCCAATTCCATGCGGTGAATGAGGGGAATCCATGCAGATTGCAGAGATTTGGGGGAATGTGGACCAAAGTGCTACCTAGCACGACTTTTTAGCCCACCAAAAGGTCCTCGTAAATTCCAAATTTTATAGTTTTATAAGCATGCTCTACTTCCTATCATAGGAATTGTTGTATGCGTCATAGTCTATATTATATAACAACAAAACAAAAAAATTATTTACATTAACACCCTTTAAGATTTTTGAGTTTTTCACAAAATTCTTTAAGGTTTCAAACCCTTTAAGGTTTTAAATTGTTTTCACAAAATCCCTTTCCGTTAATTTTTCATTTGATGATTGGTAATTATATATATATATATATATAAAATTTCGAATGACAAAGTTAGCATTTGAAATTAGATTGCACATTCATTCATTAAGGTTAATTTTGTCACTTGCATACATATTTTTTTATAAAGAAATCATCAATTTTTGGACGAGCAATCAATGAGAATGAATTTTGTGAAAACAATCTGAAACCTCATGAGGTGTTCGTATAATTTTTAAAACTTCAATGAGTTTTGTGGAAACACCGAAAACCTCAGGAGGTGTAAGTATAAATAAAACAATGTATGTAACATTGTCCTTTTAGAAAGATTATCCCTTTTTTTTGGGGATTTTTTTTGCAAAATAGTGTTCATCTTTTCAACCATTGCAGAGAGTATATATGCAACTACTAACATGAATTAAATACCACCTGAATGAGCTAAGGTTTATAGAGGGACAAGAAAAGACTTTAGGAGGTGAAAAGAGAGGGGAATAAACTAAAAAGAAAGAGACATGGCACTGCAAAAGAAATATTGATTACAATTCCTCATCAACTGAAAATCAAACAGCGATATGAGATATAGGGTGGCTAGTCTACATTATCCATAAACTTTGAAAAAGAAACCCTAACAAAATTTGATTTGAAAGATATCGTTTGGTATCCTCTGAACCTGCAGATTCAGTTAATCATCACATAATTATGTCATCAAGTTTTTAAATAAATAAAAAATAGTTAGACATCTTGTGCCCTACCCGCACCATATTATAATAAGCTAACGTGCAAATTAATTAGGATTATTGATGATTGTATATTCTTACAACTTGGATATGTGTATATTGTCTAATTTGTCACACTTTCCACAACATCCATATGGTATATGGTTGCTTATGTGACTTAAACAAGGTCACTAGTGGTTAATATAGCATTATCCAAAATCTACAAGATAATGGTTAGGTGATTGTGTTGTGTCTAATTGTCCCATTGAGTTTTGATTATAAAGCTTTAAATTTCCCTTCTTCTTTTTTTATTATTTAAATTTATTGGTTGAATATCAATATTAATTATGCTCCAAACGAATTAATATTGATGAAAATGAGTTTATTTTTAAAGGCATTTGTAATTGCACGATTTGATGGAAGGAGCAAAAGTGTGTGTTGAAGAATATAATAAGTCCCACATTCGAAACTTGATAAAAATAAACATAATATGAGTGGTTCCACTACTAATATCACATCTACTAGGTTTTGTAAGTGGTTAAGTTAGGGACAATATGGGTATTACTAGTAGTGGGTTACTAACCCGTGTCTCTAAAATTTAACAGAATGCCAATCAAAATTGATATATATATATATTATGCATGATATAACATATAAGAAAATTACAAAACACCCTTGAGAAAAAAGAATTTATAAGAAGATATAACCCAACAAATAGAAATGGCCAAAAAGACCCAAACAAATTAGTGAACAAGTTGTGGTGAGACTTCTAGGATTTACTAAACAACAAATGGCAAGACAGAAAAGCACAGGGTAGCTAAGCATTAGTTAATGGGTTCACCCACAAGGATGGCTTTAGTGCAAACTGGCCATTTTAGAGAAACTGTCAATTGTGATAGAGATAATTAGATGGTACCAACTATTTTTTTTCTTCCCAAACAAAGAAAGTGATATTTGCTAATAAATTTCTCAAGCAAATGGAAATATTGATGCATGATTGTTGAGAGCTGTTCCAATTAAAGCCAATTGAAGAGCTAAAAGACACACTAAATTAAAAACACTGGGATCTGTCATTGGGCCAGGATTGAATTTAAGCTTAAGCAACAGGTCTATATCAAATGGAGCTTGGAAAATATATCTTCTCTGGGAATGGTCAATAACAAGGGTGCTAAAATTTAGTTAATGCAAAGCCATATGAGCATGGAGAGATGTAAATTTGGGGAGCTGAATACGGGAATGTAAAGGGTGTCTGAATTTTTTTAAAATAAGTTTGAACTGTTTAAATAGAGTTGTTACAAAGAATTTACAATGAGGCAAAATAATAGATCTTATCTGTTTTCCATATGAATGTGAAAAGGAAAGAGAAGAAAGGCTTCTGTAAGCCAACTTTTTCTACAATTGAATATTGCGTCACAAATGATGTTGGGTTATGACTTACTTATAAGCAGAAGTACTTCCTATAAAAAGTTTAATCAAAGTACCTAAGGCTCGTTTAAGAGTGATTCTGAATATGCCATAATTACTTCTGAGAAGAATCATATCCCACGTGCTTCTCTAGAAAATCACTTTTTATGATTTTAAGTGATTCTAGGAATAAACACCTCCTATGTGCTTCTCTATAAAATTACTTAAAATTACTTAAAGTAATTATTTAGAGAAGTAATTCTCTATAAAAATGATTATCGACCTATTTAAAATCACTCCCAAAGAGCCCAAAAATGTTCTTTGAACACCCACCACACCTTACAAATTTTACTAGGCTACTCATATTAAAAACATGTAACCACTGAAAAAGATTATAAAAATATATATATAAAAAGGAGACACGATCCAGGGCTAAATTTGGGATTTTAAAAATCACGACTTGTTTGGTGGGCCAAATTAGAGCACACTTCTCAAGTCATAGTCATTGTTTATGGGCTTAAGTTTGACTCAGACTGAACATGGCCTTTCGGGTCCAAGTCCAAGCCCGGACTCTGGAACCCAAACGACGACGACGAGGGTGAGGGCGAGTGTCTCTTCTTCTACATCATTTTGGGGCTTCGCCTTCTTCTCGTCTTCTCTGTTGAACGTCCTGTGGCTCCGATTCTGCCCTAGGTACGTTTCTATGGCTGGGTTTCTCTAGATCTTACAATGATGACAACTTTGATTTATATTCTCTGGTATTATATGATGCCTTTGGTGGTTTTAGATTTTGTCTTATTTTTGAGTTGAACTTGATATATTTAGGGCTGATTGGAGATTTTATTATATGGTTTTTTTCTTCTGAACTTGAAATGCAATAATCCTAAATCAAGTTTAGGAGAAATATGAAGCTCCTCACAAAACCAGTCACCGTTGTGTTGTGGGTAGTGACAACTGGGGCAGTGTGGCTGCCAAGCTCATTGCCTTTAACACCCTCAAGCTCTCTTCTTTTCATGTAATTTCTATTTTTATTGTTTGTTTTCTACATTTCCATTTTATTTTTAGATGAATGCAAGTCATGATTTTGGTTTATCATTAAACTTCTATGTTTGCATTTGGTTGCTGTTGAGAAACTGAATAAATTCCTAAAGAATGTTGTTGTGCCAATCCGCATTTTCAAATTTCATTTGTCTGTCAATGCCAATAAATAACATTCTTTAATTAGCTCTTGCAAGCCAAAACCTTTCAAATTTAGATTGCAAAAAAATGATCATTCAAATTCGAAAGGATGACACGACTTGAATTTGAAAGTTGTCATGGGCGTAAGATTGTTGGAATGACAGTTTTGTTGCATTATGCTGTGTAATAGCACCTTGAGAGTATGTTTGTTTTGTCTGAAATTTGTTTTGGTGCATTATGCTGTGTAATAGGCTTCTGAGTTTTGTTTCCTGAGAGTATATCTTCTCAAAACTGAAAACAATGAAGAATTATAGAAAGAATTACAGAGACAATTGTAGAAGAAGAAGATTGTTGTTATTTCTGATGATAATGAGAGTTTTACAAGAATGGTTAACCTTTATACAGTTAACACCTTCATCTTTAACTAATTAACCCAACGAACTCTCTAGCAGACTTCTAACAAACCCATATAAGCAACTAATCACAGAATGACACTTGTCCACATTTTATAATGACAAGTGTCCTTGTTGTGAAAGTTATGTATTGCACACGTTGTATAGAAACAGAAACAGTTTTCTCTTGACAGAACTCTATTTTCGAATATACGCTGGGCTTTTCAAACACGTTGTCTTCTTTATCTCTTCTCTATCTGTTATATTTGTTAATCAATTTGGAACTAATCAATTGCTGCAGGTGTCAATGTGTATAAATTTAACTCTTAAGTACCCCTTTTTGGCATATGTTCTATTTCGTCTACTTCTCTGGAGCTCTAATTCTTATCCTTTTTTGGGATATGTGAATGCGTACGAGTTTTCTGTTCTGATTTTTGTGGGGGTCTTGCTTTGTTTCTCAATAGTATGCAATATGCAGTTCATTGTTAATTTACAATCTTTGGCATTTGTATTTTCTTTCTTTTTCTTCTATGAACTACCCAAATATGATTCAAATATCTGGTGTCGGATCTTCTGGTGACACCTTAGAACATCATGTACATAGTCAAACCCTACCCTACATTATTGTTCTATTATCAAGAAGGCCAACCAAATTGCTTACAGTACATGCATTTGAGGTGGGAAAACCTTTATCATTTCATGCATTGATCCGACTAGATTTAGACATTTCACATTTTGCATTATCAGTCTGATTTGTGTTTCTTGGTTTATAGTTTTTATTTGATATTAATTATTCCGTTCATTTTTGGTACAGCTTGATGATAATTCACTAAATCGCTTGTTCTTTTATCTTGCAGTTTGGGGGGGCATGCAACCCCGGGTTCCATCTTCATTGCATCAATGGGGTAAATTCACATACTTCTTAGGCATTTGCTCCATGTGTCGCAGGAAGTGACAATTCAGAGGTTGAGAAAAAAAAACATTGGAATCACTCTTAAGTGCAGCGGTTGCAAATGCAGGCTTGCAATTGTTATGCTGGTTGATATAAAGCGAACGCCTCCTCTGTATATGTATTGAGTATTAGTTGATGTAAACTATAGTTGCTCCATCTCCAGGTTTCAGTTTTTTTTCAATCGTTTATTGTATTCCTCCATAAACCGCATTTTTGTTTATTGGGTCTGAAGCGATCCCCAGTGAGCATAAAAATAAATTTTTGATGGTAGTCATTTTAAAATTTGTGATCCAATTAAGATTCGGGCGGAGGGGTGAATTTGAAGTAATGACGACTTTTAGCGGCGGTTAAGTGTATCGTCACTGAGAGATTTTTTACCTACGGTTAGCGGCGAAACAAACCGTTGCTAAAATCATGTAGCCTTCAATTTTGTCACTAAAGGTTCATAAACCGTCACCAATCGCCGCTAAAACACATAACCGTCATTTATTACCAGATTAGCTACATATGCTGATTAAAATGATTTCTCCTCCTTTTTTTGGCTAGATATTTATTTTCCTTCTTCTAGAATACCCCAAGCGATTTAGAAAACTGCGGAAGAGCAATTATTTACCACAACATAAATTTACACAATAGAAAAAATCATGGAGTGTTCTTATTTCATGTTGCAGGGAAATGCTTGTAAGTTTTTGGTATGTTTCTAATGTTTAGACAATGACTTCCTCCTACATAACGTAATTTTGGGAGTCTTTTCCGGACTGAAAAACAATATCATTTCTCAAATGGTTTGTGGATATAAATTACATGAAAGTTTTTTTTGAAACGATTATCGGGAGTCTTTGGGATAGGTACTTGGGTGTTAGCTGATACCACATGATGAAATTCTTAGAACTTGGATAAGTATGTATGGTCTAATTTGATCACGCTATTCTCAACATCCATATGGTATATGGTTTGGTTATGTAGGATACTGGTTAGGTGGTTGTGTTGTGTCTAATTGTCCTTTCGAAATGATTTGAGTTTTGATTATAAAGCTTAAATTTTCCCCTTTTTTCTTGCTTGAATATCAATATTAATTATGCTCTCCAAACAAATTAAGATTGATGAACATAATGCTCAGAGTTGAGCAATATATATCCATGCATGATACAAACATGTTAGAAAGTCACAAGAAAAATACTTTTGGGATGAAGTGTAACAAGCACCATAAGAAATGGCTAAAAAGAACCAAACAAATGAGTGAACAAGTAGTGGTGGTTTCATTATTGTCTGTGCAAAGGGCTTCTAGGCTTTGCTAAACAACAAATGCCAGGACAAAGAAGCACAGGGTAGCTAAGCATTAATTAATTGTTCACCCACAAGAAGGATGAGTTTAGTGGAAACTAACCATTTTAGAGAAGCTGTCAATGTTGGTACAAATAATTAGATGAAAGCAATTTTTTTCCCTTCCCATGATAGTGAATTCGTCCCTTACATCCAAGTTCAAATTTCCCTTGCTAAATATCTAATAAATCGGGCCATGACTGACTTTAAGCCTAGGCAATGGTTCTATATCATAGGGAACTTGGAAAATAGGGTTGAACAACAAGGTTGCTAAAACTTTAGTTAATGCAAATCCACAAATAAGTTTCTCTTTCATCTTTATTTGGAGAAGATTGAAATGAACATAGAACCACTTAAAAAAAATTTAGGGTTAACTACACTTTAGTCCCTGAAGGTTTAGTGTCAGTGTTGAAATGGGCCCCAAGGTTTCATTTTAATCAATTTCGTACCTAACATTTCGAAATATTACCAATTTACACCAGCCGTTACATTGACCGTCAAAGTCAAACGTTAATTGCTGACGTTGCAGTCGTGGGACCTACCTCATAACCAAACAGTAGCTAGAAAGAGACGAAACGAAGGACAATTTTGAAAAAAATAAAATAAAAACTCTTTAAAAATATTATTAAATTAGATTTTTAAAAACAGAAAAAATATATATATTCCCCACTCTCTCTCTCTCTCTCTCTCTCTCCTCCTATCTCCCTCACTCTCTCTGCCCAGAACTTGAAAACCCCACCCACATGTCCAACCACCTCCTCACCCAACCACCATTGAAGCCATACAAACCCCGCCCACATATCTGTCCATCCCCGTGAAACATGGGCCACCATATAGTCCATTCATCATAGTAGTGGATAGGATCAGTTGAACGTGTTCTTATCCAATCCACCTACCCCAAGTTGAATCTAAATTCTATTTTCCAATAAAAAACAATAAAAAAATCGAATCTAAAATGTTCGGCAGTGGTCCCTCCCTGGTTTGGTTTGGTTTGCTTCTCATGAAGTCAAACAACATTTATATTTCAGAAAAAGTTTATATTTCAGGCTGAAAGACGAATCGTATGAACACACTTACATCCGACGAATCTTGTGCTGTCGTAACAAGAGAAAGAGCACCAAATCAGATTTATCCCCACAACCACCGTCTCAACCGCCAAAACAAATGTTGAAATTATAAAATCGACAAAACCCAAGGTAAAAACATCAAATCAGATCACCTTCTGGCCTTCTTCTTCTTTGGCGACTGGCTTTGGATCTACCGAGCTCTTATTCTTCCTTCTCCTCTTTGTGTGCTTCATCACTGCATATATAGCTAGGGTTTGACGTAACCAAGAGAATAGAAAATGATAATTATAATGATAAACCCTAGCGTGAGAATAGAATACGATTAGGGATAATTTTGTTTTCGAGAGGATTAGGGTTTCTGAGATAGGTCAGTGCACCGGGGGAGGATCGGATCAGAAACCTTAGATTGGATAGGCAGAGATGGGGCACAGATGGAGAATTAGAGAAGGGAGCTTGGCTAATTTGAGGATTTTTGAAAATAACACGAGGAGAAGGGGAGAGAATGAGATAGTGAGTTAGGGAGGGGCGGATATATGGGTAGGGTTTGTATGGCTTCAATGGTGGTTGGGTGGGGAGGTGGTAGTAGATGGGTCGAAGATGTGAGTTGGGTTTTCAAGTTCTGGGCAGAGAGAGGGAGGGAGATATGAGGAGAGAGAGAAAGTGGGGTTTTTTTTTTGTTTTTTGTTTTTGTTTTTATTTTTAAAAATCTAATTTAATAATATTTTTAAAGAGTTTATTATTATTATTATTTTCTGAAATTGCCCTTCGTTTTGTCTCTTTTTAACTATTGTTTGGTTATGAGGTGAGTCACACGACTGCCACGCCAGCAGTTAACGTCTGACTTTGACGGTCAATGTAACGGTTGATGTAAATTAGTAATATTTCGAAATGTTGGATACGAAATTGATTAAAATGAAACTTTGGGGCCCATTTCGATACTGACACTAAACCTCCAAATACTAAAGTGTAGTTAACCCAAAAATTTAAAAGGAAAACGCAATCCTGGGCTATAGTTGGGGTTTAAAATTTTTTAAATATACAATCGGAGATCAGAACCACAAAGAAGCATTGGCCATCCCAGCCCAGCCCACTGAATAATGCCGTCTACACCAAACGCACCGTTTAAGTCGTAAGAATGGTGACTTATAAGCCATCCCTTTTCTCTCTCCACTAAACGCAACATTTCATCTTTTATCTCTGCCTGTACTACAACAGTTCCCGCCCAAAAGACGAAGCATTCAAAATCCTTCTCTCTCTCTAATGGACTTCAACGCAGGTACTGAGACAAAACCCTAATTTCTTCCATTAGTCTTCTTCATTACCCAAGTTAATTTCCATTATTAAGGAATACATTTCAGGAGGTGAAGTCGCTGATCAACGACAACAGTGTGAAGCGATTTACAGAAGAAGAAAGCCCAACAAACCCACTCAAGATGTAGAACCCTCGTATGTTCAAATCTAATCTCTGTGGTGATTATGTGTTTTTGTTTTGCGAAAGCAAAAAGTTTCTTAATTTGTGCTCTCAATGTGTTTTTGATTTTGCCTATCTCAGAAAGCAGTCATGTTCGGCACGTTATGTGGGAAGGGTGAGTTTGGCTCCTGCTGCTGGAGCTCTCAACAGGAAAACCAGTTGGACCCGTTCCCTTTCTACGAGGTTCATTTCAAAGCGCCCACCTTTTCTCTATCTCTATCTCTGTTGGACCCGTTCTCTTTCTTCGGATATTGCGGTTGAACTTGTGTCTATCTGCGCTGTCTTGTGAGCTTTGGGTTTGTGTTTATTATGATTCCTTTTGTTTTCTGCTTCCCGGTTTTGTGGTACGAGCTTGATTACTATGTGGTTAGTGGTGAGGGGCTGTTTGGGTAGCACCCATTTACTGAATTTCTTTTTTGATTCTATAGATTAAGCTTGTTATAGTTAGTCACTGTTGTAACTTTTGCTTAAATAATGTAGCTACTATCTCATTCCAGCTTTTGATTGATTTTTTGTGCTTGATAGAGGGAGGACAAGTGTTGCTGTTGGTGTTTGCTTTGATTATCATCCTCAACATAAGGAGCCTAAAAGAAAAGGAAAGAGAAAAGGAAAAGTTGCTCTTCCCAAAGTGAGCTCCTTTTTAAAGAAAAATTGTGTTTTCTGTTTTGCATGTTGTTATTAGCATAGCAATGCCTCAATTGCATGTACTCCATTAAAGTTTAAACACAATCGTATGCTGTTTTTAATGTTTGGAATCTCCAGGGAAAGTACAAATTTGAAGAGGAGAAGGCTTACTTTCAAGAGATTGATGCCTTTGAGTTGGTGGAGGAGAGCCCCTCTCCCAAACCTACTACATGGGTTGCGGGCAACCAAACTGATACTGTTGCATTACCCAAGTTGTGCTCTCCATTAGATAAATGGTTGTTCAAGAAGCTAAACTTCACTTTCGAGCCTTCCAGCACATTGTCTAAGATACTGCAGACTTCAACCATGCGGCCCATACCTTCAGAACCCATTGGTGGTAACAATTTGAAATCTTCAAGTTTGAAAACCCCAAAAAATTCTAGTAAAGTCAAGTCTCGTTTGCCTTCTGCGCAAAGCAGATTTGAATTGAGTTTGGTTGATGGAAGTGTGCTTGAAACGGTGCTGGATGTGGGCAATGACGGTTGTGAAGATATAGTAGCTTCTGTAAAGAAACTCTCTCTGGCATCATCTTCATCAGATAGTGAAGATTTGGATCCATTTCGTGCTCTATTAGCAGTATGTGGACAGTCAGTTCCCTTAAAATTTAGGGATGTTTTTTCTTCCTATTGGTAAGCTCCTTGTTTGTAATATGTTTGCCTTTACAATTTGAACTCCCCTTTTCCCGCAATATTTTAGCTGATCCTCTGCTTCTGTAAGCTAACATAACATACAAATTTCTTGAAACAGTGACCTAGACAAGATTACCAAAATCGGGGAAG